ATATATATATATATATATATATATATATATATATATATATATATATAGTAGGACAGTGCTTTATTTTGTATAGGAAATCTTTCTTTTCATTTCTGAGAGCTGGTGCATTCTATGATATTATTAGACCGTCCTTAATAATTATTAAACAAGTATTTCAATAGCGCTATAAAGAATACGTTCAGTAGGGGTGGGTGTAGAAGAGTGGTCTAGTCCTATCACCTTAGCACTGTGGAGGCAGAGGCCAAAGATAGTGAGCTGCATCCCCTCTTACAGCAGGACCCTAACTCAACATGGTAACAATGAAGAACAGATTCATTCATTTACCTTGGTATTATAATCATCGAGCTGCCTATTTTCTAAATTCCAACATAACTCATCTCAGACTGCTTTACTCTACAAATGACAATGTGTCTCATTGTTTAAAAAACACTTTTTATTTTCTTGAGAAACAGGGTTTCTCTATGTAGCCCTGGCTGTCCTGGAACTCACTCTGTGGACCAGGCTGGCCTTGAACTCAGACATCCTCCTGCCTCTGCCTCCCACGTGCTGGGATTAAAGGTGTATGCAACCATGCCCTACCACATGTGCCTTTTATTTGAACCAGATTCTTTGGCTTTTTTTCTGGAGCACAAAATTCTAACATATCATTGAGCAAAGACTTAGTGACAGATATATACATATATATATATATATATATATATATATATATATATACACACATATATATATACACATACACACAAAACGTATGGCTATATATCATGCATATATAAAGTATATATGTGAGACAAAGTCTCACTATTTACCCAAGCCAGCTTTACACTCAAGATTCTCTTGTTACTTATTCCCAAGTGATAGTAGAGGCATGCATCACCACGGCCCAGTTTGAAAATAGTGTAGATGAAAAAGTATCTCCTGAGGCTCTGAAGTCTCTACAGTTCCTGTCCTAGAAACAGGCTTATGCCCAATGGATATGAGGCTACTAATTAAAATCCTGCCACACAACTTTTTCCTAGGTTAGTCTAGTTCTGAGAATGATGATTTAAAAGCCAAGATAATTAAAAGCAAAAATTAATTTTTGTATTGTAAATAAGAGATATTTACCTAAAATAATATATCGAGAATTTAACATTGTCCACTTATTTATATTTGGTGCTAGGGACTGAAATCAGAAATGTAAACACACAACATCAGCACTCTTCCTTAAGCTACATCTCCAGTCATCACCCCTTTCCAAAAACATATTTTGTGTTTATTTTAGTTATTTAACTTTTTCTGAGGCAGTCTCAAGTAGCCCAGGGTAGTATGTTTCTAAGTCTGACCTTTGACTCCTGATTTCCCAGCTTCTACACCAGCGCTCGAATTAAAGGTTTGTGCTACTATCTTATAAGGGAACTAAAATGTTTACAGTGTGGTAAAATGATATTTTTACTTATAATGGAATATTTCTAACTTCCGTTTATTTTTTATGGGAAGGGCGACCACAGGCCGTGGAGTGCGCATGGAAGACAGAACAACTTATGAAGTAGGTTCTCATTTTCCACCATGTGGGACTTGGGGCTAAACTCAGTGTTAGGCTTGGCAGGAAGCACTCTTACCCACTGATTTCATTGGCCTTTAAAGAACTTCACTTACAAATTTTAAAAATATTTTTACATTTATTTACTCACGTGCATGCGCCACATGTGCCACAACACATGTAGAGGTCAGAGGACAACTTTTGGAACATGGTTTTCAACTTACATTATATGAATCCTGAGGCTCAAACCCCAGAGAGTAAGAGCCTTTGCCTGCGGGGTCATCTTGCCAACTTGGCTTTAAGGACAAGCAAACATTTTCAATATTATGGTAGGTACCAAACAGCTTCTGCACTTCTAAATATTTTTAATTATTTTTTTTCAAAAAGGATGGTTTTGCCCTTGTTTGTGGCTTTCAAAGTTTTGTGTTTTATTTTTTTTAAAGATTTATTATATATACAGTGTACTGACTGCATGACAGAAGAGGGCACCAGATCTCATTATAGATGGTTATAAGCCACATTGTGGTTGCTGGGAATTGAACTCAGGACCTCTGGAAGAGCAGCCAACGCGCTTATCCTCTGTGCCATCATCACTACAGCCTGTTTTTATTTTTGGAGATGAGGTCTCATGTAGTCTGACACCTGGACTCTGTGGGTTACCTACTACTGAGTAAGTTCTAGTAATTTCTATGTTTTAAAGAATTTATCCAATTCATTAGAATCATCTAACTGGTATAAAACTGTTTCTATTATTATTTTATTAAGCTCTGATAAGCTCTTGAGTGAGGGATGAAGAGATGGCTCAGCAGTTAAGAGAACTGGGTGCCCTTCCAGTGGACATGGGTTTGATTCCCAGCACTCATGAGGTAGCTCCTAACTGTAACTCCAACTGCATGGAATCCAACATGTTCTTCTGGCCTCCACTGGCACATATGTAGTACACAGGTATACATGCCCACAAATACTCCTATACATCATAAAACTAGGAAACAAAATCTAGAGTGATGCCACTTCTCATGGTAATTTAGACCTTTTGAAGAGGGTGAGTTGGGGAGGTTGAAGATAAGAGTATCACAGTATAGCCCAGTCTGGTCAGAAACTCACTATATATGTAACTCAGGCTGGCCTTATCTCTCAGCTTTCCACAACCTCCAGAAATCTGAGTCTTTAATAACCACATATTTGGTCATCAGTCATCAGATTTTTTTTGTTCACTTATTTTTAAAAATTATACTTATGCTCTGACCAGGGAAACAGTGCCTTGGTCAACCATCAGCAGAAAAGCTTCTTCCTGTGGCAGATAAAAACAAATACAGAGACCTGCAGGCAGATAGTAAGTGGAAAGTGAAAGACCTTGGAATACTCAGCCCTAAATGGAATGCCTTTACCAAATCCCTTCCCTCACAGCTCAGCGAACCCCAAGAAGAGGAGATGGATAAGAGCCAGATGGGACAGAGGACACCAAGAAAACAATGCTGTCTAAATCAACATGAGCAAAACCCATATGAACTCACAGAAACTGAGGCAGTATGTTCAGGATCTGCACAGGTCTTCACCAGGTCCTCTGCACACATATTATAGCTTATAGGTTAGCATTTTTATGGGATTCCTGAGTATGCAAACAAATGGATCTCTAATTCTGTGCCTTCTCTTGGGCTCTTTTCCTTCTGTTTGTCTTGCACAACTCCAATGTGATAGTTTTTGTTTTATATATTTTAAATTTTTTTCTAAGAAAAATATTAAATATAAAAGTTGTACTTATTATTAAGGAGTTTAGTGTGTGTATGTTGTGTATGTGCAAACACATGCATGCACATACACTATAGAGGTCAGAGAACAACTTTATGTAATCACTTCTTTCCTTGTACCTTTATGTAGGTTCTGAGGATCAAACTCGGATCATCAGACTTGCATCATATTGAATGGCAAGTTCTTTTACAGACTGAGCGCCATGATTTTCATTTCTAATTTGATTTCATTTTAGTCAGAGTGTACATACTGAGAGGTTTTATTTTTGTTATTTCATTGCTCTGTTTCATGAAAAGTTAAAATAAAAACTATATTGCAGAATTGGTAGAGTGGTATACACTTATATTTATGGGGGAAGGAGGATCATAAATCCAAGGTCATCTTTAGCTACACAGAGCTCTATAAGCCAGTTTGAGCTGCAGAAGACCATTCTTAAACCTCCCAAGAAACAACTATACTGCTGCCACCGTCCTTCCAATTATCCTCCCAGTAACATCTACTTCCAAGATGTTCTTATCTTCAAGAGCCTAGCCAAGCACTTAAGGCAGAGGCACGTCAGTACCTTTTTGGGGCCAGCCTGGTCTACACAGTAACTTCCACGCCTGCCAGGGCTATAGAGTGAGACCCTATTACAAACAAAAGTCTAAATATATCCAAAATGGTCCATATTAAAGCATCATACTCATTAACCAGATTCAATAGTTTTTTTGTTATGCTTTGAAATACATTTTTTAATATACAACCTAGAAGATAATGAATACTTACTATTATTGGCAAGAGTAAGTCCAATAAATGAACATATAGGGCGAATTATCTCAGGTTTCATGCAATTCATTAGCCATTCATTAGCATATGGAAAAAGTGAACAACAAAGTGTTTGATTCTCATCTGAAAGGAGGAAGGCCAACAATGATTTAATCTGACTTTTGTAAAATACCAGTTACCATTTGTTTTCATATTTGTATTTAGATAGTTGAAATAATTACCATTTTGAGGATTGTTGACACATACAGACAGAGTACTGCACACCGAAGACCATAACAGATAACTCTGGAAAACATTATTATCTGACAAATTCAACTTATAATTGGAAAGAACTGTCCTATTGGGTGAAAAGTAAAAGGTAATAAATTATTATAAGTGCACTAATGCCCTAAGCAATGAATAATAAGACATTTTCCTGACTTACCTGAACAACTGTGACAGAACTTCAATACAACCTGTTTCTCTCACAAGAGTTTGTCCATTCCCTTAAAAATAGCCATATAGTACATGAATATGACTTTTATTTAAAAATAATTTCATAGAAATTAAGACATTTAGCTGATATTTTAAGTAGCTCCTAACTTACTTTAAAGTATTACCAAGTATACAGAATTACAGTAGGAAAAAAACAAAACTATAATAAAGGGACTAGAGAGATGGTTCAGCAGTTAAGAGAACTTTCTGTTCTTCAGAGGACCTGGGATCAATGTCCAGCACCCACATGGTGGCTTATAACCATCTATAACTCAGGTTCCAGGGAATCCTATGCCTTTTTATGGCCCCTGAGGGTACCAGGCATGCACATGGTAGATAGAAGTGCATGCAGACAAACACTTATACACATTTTTTAAAAACTTTATAACCAGTTTTATTGTGGAAAATATACTATGTTTAGTAGCTTTCAGCGTTCAGTTTTCTTCTAAAAATTACAAAATGCTTATTTTAAGTTACAGTTCTGTTATAATACGAGAATACTCTCCAAAGCAGAAAAAAAAATACAAATTATTTTTCAGATTTTCAAAAGTAGAAAAAGAAAAACCTACAACTAATTCAAGTACCTAACAACTGCAAAAAGTAAATGAAGCAAGTTTTTTAAAAAATGAAGGGATTGGGGAGATTGCTCAGTCAGTAAAGTGGCAACTGAAGAACTTGAGCTTGATCTTTAGCACTCATGTGAAAATTAAACAAAATCTAGGGACAGTAGCTTATGTCTGATCCCTGGGGCTTGCTGGACAGTCAATCTAGTCAAATCGGAAAGCTCCATATTCAGTAAGTGACCCTGTCTCAAAAAAAAAAAAAAAAAAAAAAAAAGGTGGAAACTGATTGCAGAAAGTACCCAACATCAATCTTCAGCTTCTATACCGAGCACACACATACACATGTACATACATACACATGCAAAGTCCTAACTAGGTACACATGAACACTGCCTTCACTGCCTTTACATTTTATTTTCAACTTTTCAAAAAATCTAAAATTATTCCAAAATAAAAACCTTTAAGGACCAACAGTAAATCTTGTAACAAAATACCTATCAGTGAAAAGTTACCAATTCATTGGATACTTCTTTTTCTGGTTGAAGACTGAGTAGTACAAATCACTATTCTTAAAATTAACAATTATCAAGCTATTAAATGGATACTACTAATTCTTTCCTTAGAACTAGTATCTCTCACATGTTAATGATATAAAAAGTTGCTAATACATTTGGAAAGCAGAGGCAGGTAGATTTCTGTGAGTTCAAGACCAACCTCATCTACGTGGTGAAATCATTTCAAAGGGGGGGTGGGGGGGACACTAAAAAACAACTAGAATAAAAGTATTAATGACGATTCCAAAATACACTAAAATGTTTTTAAGTATTCATAAGAAACTGTACTTACTATTATTTGAAACCAGAACCAAAAGAACATACAAAGACATTCTTTTCAAATTTGTGTTTGAATCATCATTAGATAAGAGCAAGGTTAAATCCTGAAATATTTCTGAAGTACACAATGTTTGTTGACAGTAAACTGAAACATAAAATATAATTTTCATTTTAATATGTTAGCACAAATCATTAAAAATATACTGAACAAGACACAAAGTTGTCAAACTGAGGATGCTTCTTAACTGTCACTTAACTGACATGGATTAGAAATAATAAAACCTATAAAAACTTGACATGTGCTTACCTAACAGACCCAATCTTTCAAGAAATATTTTAAGAAATAAGCAATATTTAAGAAATTAACCAACATTTTAAGAAAATATTTTAAATCACATTTATTTATTTACTTATTTGTGTGTGTGCGTCCACCCACACGTGCAGACGTACCATAGTACTCTTACGGATGAGAGGGCAACTTATGGGAGTTGGTTCTCTCTTCCCATCACATGAGCTCCAGGCATTAAACAAAGGTTATCGGGCTTGTTGGCAAGCACCTTTACCTACGGAGCCGTCTAGCCAGTCCCAAACCAGCAATATCTTTATCAAAATGATTTGGTCTAAGCTGAGCAAATATTAAAATACTCTAGAATTGACAATAAAATACTAACCAAATAAAAAATTAAAATCAGACCAAGTAGAAGTGAAAAGTGAGTCCAAATGAAATGACTATTAAAAAAACAAAGCAAGAAAAAAAAAACAATAAAATTCAAATATCTGCTTTGGAAAACAGAAACAAGCAATATTTATGATATTTCTTAAGACTTTCAGAGGTGCAAAAATCTTTTCAAAGCTCAAAAATAACACTAGAAATGGTGCAAAATAAATACTTAGGACACAAAACAGGAGAATTGTGCATTCAAGGCCAGCCTGTGCTATATAGCAAAACTTTAACTCAAAAACAAACAAAAGGAAGCCCCTAAAACAAAAACAAAAACAAAAACAACAACAAAACCCGAAAACTTCCACAGAAAACAAACAAAACAAATTCTAAAAAATGAGTCAAGCTAGGTGTGGTGGCATTCATCTTTAAATAAAGAGGAAAAAAAAATTTAAAGACTTATTTAAAATCATTCTAAGCACATAAAAATAAAATTTTATATTTACCATTTTCTTCTGCAATAGATGCTAAGGTGTATAAGGCTGCTTCTTTTACCATGCTATGCTCACTTGACTTTGCAAGATTTTTTATAAACATCAAACCACCAATATCCCGGAAATAAATGCCTGCTTCACCTGTGATATTTGCAAATAAAACAAGAAATGATATTTACTTTGTTTATTATTCTGTTAAGGATAAAGAATCAACTGGATATTACCACATATACACTGGGTAGAAGAGAAACAACCACGCATATTGATATATTTCAGCACTACGAAACTGGAACCAGAGCGGGGTGTGGAGTGTGGGCTGGTGGCACAAGCATGCAGTCCAGTGCTGGGGAGGCTGTCAGGGAAGCAACACTTTGAGACCAGCCTGGGTTACTTGACAAAAGAAGAAGAAAGAGAGAAGGAGAGGTAAGCATAGACAGAGAGAAAGTGTAGAGAAGAAGGAAGGGAAAGAAAAAGAAAAAAGGAAGAAGAAATTAGAATCATGAATGAAGTTAACTGTTATGTCTTACTGTTTTGCTGACAAACTGAATGAATAGTGATCAAAACTTCTTTCTGTGACAAAGGGTTGCCCATATGATACTTCAGGCATTCCAACAATAACTTCAGGTCAGTCTTCATTTCTAATGGAAAAAAATTTATTATTTTAAACACAAAGTTTTTGTTCAAAGACCAATTATTAAAATTCTATTTCATAATTACTTTGAAATGCTTGCTTTTTTAAATAATAAGCATATGTTTGCTTTATAATCTAATAAAGATATCTTAAATTAAAGATATTTTAAATGAACTTAATGAAAATACATGTAAGAATTTATACGATGCTAATAAAGCACTATTTATGAGGAAATTTATAGTACTAAATACATGTGTTAGAATAGAAATGGCTTTCAAAACAATGGTCTTAGCTTCCACATTAAGAAACTAGAAAGAGAGCAAACTGAACCCAAAGTAAACAAGGAAAAACTATGAAGACAAAAGCTGAAGTGAGCAAAACATAAAAATGGAAAAAGATGCTCAGTGGTGAAGAGCACTGGCTGCCCTCCAGAGGACCCAGGTTTAAGTCCCAGCATCCATATGATAATTTACAGCTGTCTGTAACTTAGTCCAAGGTTCTGACCTCACTCAGGCATCAGGCACGCACAGATATACATACAAAGCAAAACATCTATATACATAAAATGAATTTAAAAATTAAAAAGACGGTTCTTTTAAAAGATTGATAAAGCTGAGCCAGTCGTGGTGGCACACTAAGACCCAGGACGGTGGTGCATACCTTTAATTTCAGCACTAGGTAAGAGGACCTCTGTGAGTTCAAAGCCAGTCTGGTCTACATAGTGAGTACAAGGTCAGAAAACCTATAGAGAGCAAGTCTAGCTCAAAACAAAACGCCAAAAACCACCCAGAAAAACTTTAAGAAGAAGCTTCTTAAAGTTAGGGAGTAAACAACTTAGAAGCTTCAAAAATACCTGAAACTAATCTGATGTGCTAGCTCCTTCCTCCTCACAGACAAGGGGTAAGGACTGCTGAGAGAAACACTCTCAGACCAAAAGATTGCTTCCAAGAGACAGAGACCAACTAAGCCTCCTGAAAGAGATACTTTCCAAGCTGTTAAGGTTGTACTGTTTGTTCCAGTTTTCCAGCCATCATGAGCTGTTACCCATGCTGGGGTAAGTTTTGATGATACAGCTGCAGCTGAGTCATTTCTGCTTCTGTAAATAATTCCTCATTCATACCTTGTATGTAATCCCAGTAAACTCACTGGCTTACCAAGTTACATTTAGTCAATTGGCAATTCCCTATCTGGGCTAAGTAGATGTTTCTTCATGTCCCCTCAGAAATATTGTCATATAACTTATATATGTAAATTGAGGAATGACTTTAATTTTCTAGATGCTGATATACATATATAATATAAACAATACAATAAATAAAAATATGTATATTTGTATATATAGAATTATACAACTATAAAATACCTAAAACTAATGCAATTACATGATTCATGGATTTCTCACCTTGGGTTTTATTTGTATGCTCACTTTCCATGCTTGTCTTTTTTCCTTCTATTTCATCTATAAGATAGGGCATTTTTAGTTAGATCAGCTTCTGAGAAATGTTCTGGGCAGTATGCTCGCTTCAGCAGCACATATACTACAATTGCAACAATACATAGACCCTTCACAAGGATGACACACAAATTCATGAAGCAGTCCATGTCTAAAAGAATGTGAAGAACGAAATATTCTGGGCATCATGGTGCATGTCTGTAATCTTCAGGCAGGAGGAGGACCCTAAGTTGAAGACACTCTGAGTTACAAAATTCCAGGCCAGCCAGGAACTTTGGAAAAAAAGAGAGGGGTGGGTGGGGAGAGGGAGGAAGAAATAAAAGAAAATAATATCTCAAAACAAAACTCTTCACAAACACAGGAACAAAGATCCCTGGGACCCATATGGTAGGCAAAAAGAGACTCTCACTGGTTACCTTTTAACCACACATGTGCTAATCCATACATGCACACACGTATATACATGTATATATATATATATATATATACACAAATAGATGTAATTAAAAATAAGTAATTACAGTAAATGAGCAGTTGTAATTTTCAAAAGGTTATAAAATTATACTTAAAATTAAAAATAGCTCATTTTCCAAGTTAAAAATATGTGCCAAATAAAGCAATTATGGAATGTTTTCAGTAATTTTGTGGATACAAATTATCACCAGCAATGAGATTGCAATTTTTTTTCTGTGTTCTCACAGGGGAAAAAACAAAAAGAAACAAACAAAAAAAGTTACAGGTTTTACTCAATTTACTCTCCAAAATAACAAGTGCAAACTTTACTAGAAAAAGTAGTAGAGAAAATTGTTGCGGCCTGGTTCTTTTGGCATAATTATAACCATTTTTGTTTTTGGCCTAACAGCCACATCATCTCAGCTTGTTGTTGATATAGAGAAAAGCTCTCAAGCAGGGCCTGGCCTCATGCCCTTAATCCCAGCACTCAGGGAGGCAGAGGCAGGTGGATTGCTGTGAGTTTGAGGCCAGCCTGGTCTATAAAGGGAGCCCAGGACAGCCAAGGTTACACAGAGAAACCCTGTCTCGAAAAAAATAAAAATAAAAGGTTGACCAAAAACTATATAATGTTCAGCATACTCTGCCATACTCCTAGAAATCCCCCAACCATAAGAGCAGCTGGCCCTAACTAAAAACTCCACTTGAGACCAATCAAATGAAAGGTCAGCCAGAACTGATTTGTCTAATTAGTAAAAATAACAATTCAAAGGTGACTACCCTGTTCCCGTGTCGTCCACTCCCCAGCTCCCTGTATAAGCTAACTGCAGTTTTTGCTTCTATCAGCTAACTCTAAAAGACAATGTCACAGTTTGGCTCCCGAGCCCACTGTTCCTGACCATGGTCTTGGGGTGTTGCATTCAATAAACCATCCCTATCTAACTGAGACTGGTGTCTGAATGGTTTGTGCGGCTTCTTCTGGCCCCTCACAAAATTAAATAAGAAAGTTAGTTGATTACTGTTCTCCACTTTGGTCCTAGGGATGAAACTCGAGGTAGAATCTATCATTAAGCGATATGCCCAGCCCCTGAAATTTGCTACTCTAAAAATGTTCATATCAAAATCTTTGTGAAGAAAAAAATCTACATAGTCCACTACTCCCTCATGAAAGGCAGCATATCTTCCTGGGTGGGGCTGGCAGAGATGAAAATCCTAGCATTAACTGCCACCTCAAGTTGTCCAAAGTGGACATCTGCCTTGGAAAGCAACCTCTAATGGGGGCAAAAGGGCAAATATGTAACTTGCCCTATCCAACTTCTGCTGCAGAAATTTAAAGGGATCGTGGAGTAAGTCATTCAGGTCGCAGAAAATGCTGAGGATAACAGGAACCAGTTGCTCTACAGCATGGTTAAGATCTGAGGGCCCAAACCCTCACCGCTAGCTTAGCCCCGGTTCACAGGCACCGGGTTCCATTATCTTTCCACAGGTTAAGCCTCCCTCGCCCTGTTCTCCCCCCCCCCCCCCCCCCACGCCCATGGAAGCCTGACTCACCTCCAGAACTCTTGTCCTGAGGGCTGGCGGTCCCAAGGCTTATTTCCACAGCTATCAGCGGGGCACCACGCCTGCTCCCAAGCCCGACTCAGGCAGGCTTCACGGGGCAATCACCCAGCTCCTGAGGCTGGTGGGTCAGTTGCTGTGAGGCACGTGGTCCCGTCCTCCTTAGTGCTCACAAAGGAAATCCCCTGTGGCCCCGATGCTCTCCAATCATCAGAGTCACCATCCTTTTCTCACACAGGCTGTGGCAACTGCGGCCAGCCTGGCGCCAGCTGAGGAAAGCCCTCACCCTCGGCTCAACCTATCCCCTCAGGTGAGCCAGTTAAGCCGGGCCTCGCCAGCACCACAGCTCTGGGAGCAGCAGCCCCTGCCCCGGAAGGCAACAGGCAAGGTCGGGCTGAGCTGCTGCAAGCCAAACCCTGGCGCTGAGACGCTTATCAGGTCCGCACCAGCCCTGTCCCGTGGCAGCCTAGACCTTGACGCCTGCCTGGGTTTCCCACCCCGCGCCAGTCAGGCTCACATCCGCTGGGCGGGACTTCCGGCCGAACACTGCCGCTAGGCTCAGAGCAGGGCCTCGCTACTGCTCAGAGGGCAGAAGGTAGACACTGCATGGTGCCGCGTTTTAGATGGGAGAAAGCTACAATATGAGGGTAATGTAACCTTAGTTTCTGGGACTTGCTTCTTAGAAGGGGCCTTTGCTCCCGCCCGACGCCAGGCTTTCTTCTGTTGCATTGGACATTTTATAGAATGGCCACCCCCTCACTACACTAAAGCAGCGTCACTGGGTGCCTCCAAAACCGTAATTTTTGGTTCTGGCCAAGCTGGCTTCTCACTGTGTAGACCAAAGACCCAGAGCTCTGAGTCTTAAATGTGGTCAAGGTGTACCCTCGTATAATTGGTCCTGTCAAGCTTCCTAACAGAAGCCATCTAATGGGAGGTTGGGAGGTGAAAGTGCTCTCAGGGCAGTCCCTGCTGTGGGAAAGACATTTAATAGCCAAGCAAAAATGACACACTGGTATCCAAGAAACAAAATTCCTATGAACCCCTCCCCGCTTGTCAGTTTTAACGAAGGTTCTCACATAGGAGACTGCCTTTGATAATGACTCTACAGCAAGCAGTTTAAGGGCCTTAAGATTCTTAAGATACACATTAACAACGTCAGCCTTGCAGAAGTCTGAAGCTCGGCCCTGCTCCCACTTCTACATTTCTAGTTTGCTACTATTCCTCATCTTAAGGAATTTTCTTTCCCATCTGTCATGCTGGTAAATACTATTATTCCAACGTGATTATTTTTTTAAGATGTAATTCATGGATGGGACAACCCCATAACATTTCAACAAGGAGGTATAGTAGTAAAACCTCTAGATATATATAAAATGAATGACACTGCAAGGAAATGGTGTTGTTTTCTGATAAAACTACATATCCTTAAGTGCTTCTTTTAAAATTCTATTTTAACAAATATTGATCTTAAAGAATGTCCATAGCTAAAATCTACGTCTTAAATTCATTAAGATAATTTTTTTTACTCTTTCTAATAAAACAGACATATGTCTATTATATGTAAATGCAAAACAGCAAACTACTATTAATGAATTAAATTACAAAGAGTTAGCTTTTATTCTTCAGGAAAATGAGTGCTTTCTCTCCCCCAACCCAAACAATAAGACTGTATTACAAATGAGAAAAGTTTTTTATTAAGGAAACAATTTAACTGCTCTCCTTTAACCGAGTTTTAAAAACCAAAGCACAATATGAAGACAATTACAGTTTCAATATTACACATGGTGCTTATTCTATAATTGGAAAGTTGCAGAAGTTTGTGACATGCCACTATAAATATAAGTATTATTAAAAATTACAAATTGTTTGGTGATTATTTTGATAACTTCTTGCGCAGCAGCTCCTGTAGGAAAAAGGAGAAAAGTAAATCTTTGAAAAGAACACATTTTAAGAGTTGAATAATATAATATACACCAGATTGGGCCTGATGGTGCATGCTTTTAATGCCAGCACTCAGTAGGTAGAGATAGCTGGATCTCTGTGAGTTCAAAGCCAACCTGCTCAACATAGTATGTTCTAGGCCAGCCACAGCTATATAGTGAGACACTTGTCTCAAAAATTAAAAAACAAAACAAAAAAAAAAACAACAACATGAGATCAATGGTATATAGAATACACCATGGGTACAGAAGAGAACAACAAACAAACAATCCCTAAAGAAACTAAAGCTGAGGCCAGGTATGGTGGCGCACACCTTTAATCCTGGCGCTCAGAAGGCAGAGGCAAGCAGATTTCTGTGAGTCTGAGGTCAGCCTGATCTACAAAGTGAGTCCAGGACAGCCAAGGCTACACAAACAAACCCTGTCTCAAAAAACAAAACAAACAAAAAACACTCCACTATACACCAAATCTTCTTTCAGACACTATAAATATAGCAGAGTATGAGACAAATATATCTGCTGCTTGTGAACTTCACCCTTTTTGTTCAGCAGCCAAGAGAAAGGATAGCTTACAAATAAATAACATGCACAGTATGTAAAACGGATTAAGTGCTACAGTAAAAATGAAAAGCAGGAGGGAAAGTTTAAGAGTGGTGGCTCAAGTTTATGTATGGAAAGCCTCAGAGAAGGTTCAAAATCATAACAAAACACATAAAAAAATAAAGGCCTATTTACATTTGTTAGGCCTCTCTGTGCTCTTAGAATCTGGCCTATCTAAATAAATAATATTTTGCCCTTTTCTTTGAACTTGTAGGCTATTTAGACATGAAAAATGATTTATTTAAATAAATTATCCAGAATCAGGCTTAATTTGTGTTTGTTTAAAATATGGTTTTATTAGATCTGCATCATTAGCATTCTGAATATTGACTATAAATCAAACTGGATCTGCCTTCAAAATAATCATCTAAAAGGAAAATACCATAAGTAAACAACTCAGGCTTTTGGAGGTAATAGGCAGAAGAGTCTTATT